TGGGGTCGGCTACATAATCCTTTTTCTCTATTGTCATGTAAATAGTAAATTCTCGTTTAAATCTAATAAAGAAATATCATTTCTAATATGTTCTAACCAAGTCTTTTTAGGTCTACCTCTACCTTTCTTAATATAAATCAAATCTAATACCTCTACTTTCCTAACCTGATCATCAAAAGCTCAGTTTCTAGAATCTCCTGAAACTTATCCAAAAATATTTTTTAATAGAATTAGCATCTTTTCCCACATCAAGATTGGTTATTCTAAAAATTTCCAACCAACCTCTCTTAGCATCCTAACTCAGATTAATAATTTGGCATATTTCACATTCCACCATCATATATTAGGCAATTATTTCTTTCAATCAATTTCTTTATTCTCCAAAGATAACACTTTAGGTTGGGCTGTCAAACTATCTCTTGAAATCACCTAACAATCTTTGCATATATCACTTCCCTTCTAATTAAAAAAAAAGTATATTTGTATATCGTAATTCTACTTATAAAAGTAATTAAGTGCTCTTCTAACTTTTTAATGCATGTTTTTTTTTTTTTGCAAGAATACATGTTGGTATGAAATCAAATATAATTTCCATCACATTTTTATTTCACATACACACAATTAGGAAAAGAATCAGCCATTCTTTTGAGAGTGGGCAAACTTATTATATAAACAATTAAATATACATAATTGTATTAAACTTAATTTAAATCAAAATCTTATATTTCATAATAATCAATGAATTGAACAATGCTTACAAGCTTCTCAACCATTTTTATATGTTTTTTTATAATATTACATTATTACTCTCACCATATATGCTTTTAATTAAAAATTAAATTAATGAAATATAAAAAAATTCATTGAAGCTCTAATCTTTAAATGAAGATCTAAATGTTAACTATAATTACTTATTATCCAACCGGTGGTTATCTTCCCCACTTGATTTACTATTTCTTTAGTATGTAAAGAGAGAAAAAATGAAGATAAGCAAATGTAAGAAAAGCTGACTGGAGCCAAACGAAATTGGGAAAGAAGTCAACAACATTCTTCTCTGCCATTACAATTTCTCTTCTCTTTGGTCTTTTTCTATACTCTTCTTAGAGTCGTGGGACCATCTAGGTTAGTTTTTCCACGTCGCCACTTCTTCATTTCTGCTTTGGCATTATGCGAAGTAGACTTTCAAAAGAGTCACTCAAGATAGCTTCTTCACGTCCTACGATAGCATTGTTCCTTTTATCAAAAATCAAGATGGGAGCTCACCACGAATGTTACGATCTTTCTCCCCATTCGTGCTCTTCTTCATCTAAATCCTATAAGTTCCTAGAACTATAGCATTTATTAAATCTAAGAATTAAGGGGGAAAAAAAAGGAACAATATTTAAGTTTTTCGTAGGATTTAAATTTGCAATTTCTTTCTATTTAGCAGAATTTGGACTAAATAATGCTTAAATCTTGCATCCAATTAGCCCCTAAATTGGGACAAAAGATGATTTTAGGGGGCAAAGTTCCCAAAACAGTTCTTATTTATTAAGATTATAATTTTGAGGGTTTCCCACCCTCAACTAAGTGTGGTTCCACCTCCGCACACAATGAATCCTATCACAAATAAGTCCAATTAAGTCACCCCTATGTATACACACACACACATTAAGAGGCAATTTGGTTGCAAATATTTAGAATACATAAGTACTTCAAATATAGTATAAATTAAATAAAATGAGGTTTGAGTGCTCAAAATTGCTTTGTTAGTTGTAAAATCAATTCTATAAATCTTTTTTTTTTGTGTTTGGTTGGATGTAAGAAGAATCTAATTTTTATAATAATATATTATTTTAAATGTATTTTTTGCACTAATATATATTTTTAAACCCTTTTTTATAAATGAATCTAAGGCACAACAACAAGAATGGGTTCAGTGAATATGTCTGATGCAGGGACACTACCAAAGGCAATGCAAGGAAGGCAGACTAGTTGGATTTAAGGATGAGGGAGACAACGGACATGTGTATGCCAAGGACAAGGTCATATGGTCAACAGATGCGAGGATGACTTCATGAAGGATGAGGTCCATATGCTAAATTTGAAATTCACCTAATTTGGTTGAATTTCAAATTCATAAAAAAATGAACTTTTGGCGGTCTTATAAATTACTTTGTAGTTGTTTTACTTCATAAAAAACACCTGAGAACTCAAATCTCATGTATTTAGATTATTATGCACTCTTAATACCTCAAATCAAACAACACTTAAGCATGCGTTCAAGTAGTCCATACAAATTCTCTAAAAATAGATTTTTAAATTTAGTTTTAATCTAACTACATCACTCTCAAATCAAATTATGCATACAAACATAATATAATTATTACTATTTATAGCAAACAATAAAACAACAAATTCCAAAATAGCCCTTCCTAAATCAGCCCCTAAATAAGCCCCCAAATCAGCCCTCTCTAATTAAGAAATATCTCCTAATTAATCTCCTCCAATTCAACCCCCAAATCTGCCCTTTTTAATTAGGAAATATCTCCAAATTAATATCCTTCAAATCAGCCCCTTTTAATTAAAAAACATCTCCTAATTAATCCCTTCCTTAATTCCTCTTCTCACATATATAATGATAGGTTTAATGGACCCCACAAGGGGGGCTGAATTGCCCTCTCCTGTATCACTAAGCCCCTGATTTCTTTCCCTTTTATTCTCCTATATTTTCAAATTCCAAGAAGCACCAAAGCAACTCCTCCTTAGGCCTAAAAGATAATAATCTTCCCGTTGCCATCCCTTCTTTGAGCTCAAAGAAAATAGATGAGAAAGTCATTGTGCCAAGAATTTGTTTCCTCTTTTTTTCTTTCCTTGCGTAATCTTAACCCCTTATACTTCTTAATTTCGCCAAAGCATGTCTTTGTAAACCGGCATACAAGAAAGTAGTCCTCAATTCTCAACAATGATATCAATTATCCAAAGCTCCCACGACAGCAACAATCCCTCCCTCTACTCCCTTCACTAAAGGAATTAAGACTGGCACCAGCCTTTTTAACATCTACAAACCATAAAGAAAATATGCTGCTGACGCAAATCCTTGGTTGCTGCAGCCACCAAAACCAAAACAGAGCGCATCATGAAAAATGAAGTCCCTGGTCCTTTCTTACTCTCTAGTTTAGTTTCTGCTAAGGTGGACGGAGGATTAGGCATTTCATCCAGCCAAACAGGATTCAGTTTCCAAGTCTGGAGAGGTGCTCTAATAGCCTCTCCCATTTAGTTGCACTGAAAATGAGATCTTTATAGAAAATATTTAATACTTAAGAAAAAACAATGGTCCAGGTATCGATAACAATCACCTATCTTTGATATCCTAAATTCTGCAATAAATTTCAACAGTCAGGTAACGCTTGCCAGTTTAAAACATCATGCAGAGCATGTCTCAAAAAGAATATTCTAATCTAGAAGATTTAAAAAAAGTTCAAAATTTTGCTTCACATAAAAAGGACTACTCTTGTATAACAGCAAAGAGTAAATCAAGAGATTATTAAATTCGTGTAAGAAAACTTGAAAAAAAAAAAAACAAGTATTAAGAAAAGATGGAGCTAAGTTGTTGTATTGTAAGTAAATAATATATGTATGAATTTGAAAATTTAATCAAAATCTTAAATTAGACATTCAAAAAACCCAATTTAACGCAACACAATAAGACAACTATGTACAACAACAACAACAACAAGCCTTTATCCCACTGTGGGATCGGCTAAAAGAATCATTTTTCTCTATTATGTCCTATAAACAATCAAATTCTCATCTAAATCTTAAAAAAAAATCATTTTTAATGCTTTCTAACCAAATCTTTTTAGGTCTATCTCAACATTCCTTAACATTGGTGTGATCTAATACATCTACTATCCTAACAGGATCATCAGAAGGCCGACATTTTATGCGACCAAACCATCTAGGCAACTCTCTTTAATCTTATTTGGCATTAGAGCTAGTCTAACATTTTTACATATATGCTCGTTTTGCATTCAGCCTCTAAGTGTAAAACCACTCATCAACCTGAGCATCCTCATCACTGCAACACTCAACTTAATTTTATGCTTTCTCTTAATGGCCAACATTTTGCATCATAAAGCATTGCATGTCCACTATCATCTTATAAATTTTTCCCTCAATTTTGAGGTGCACTATTATATCACAAAATATACTCGATGCATTCCTCCAGTTCAACCATTCGATTTGAATTCTACTAATAATATCTTCATCTATTTCACCATCACTTTAATTAATAGTCCTGAGATATCTAAAACGTGCACTCTTTCTAATGACTTGATCACCCAATGTCACAATCTCACTACTAGATCTATTACTATTAAAATTACACTCATTGTATTTGATTTTAGGTATGTTCAAAGGAAAAACCTGGAGACTCTAATATTGACCTCCATAATTCAAGTTTTTCATCAACTCCCTTTCTAGTATTATTAACAAAAGAATATCATCAGCAAAAAGTAGACACCAATGCACATCCTCTTGCAAATGTCTAGTAAAATATCCATAAATAAAGAAAAAATATATGGGTCTAAAGTTGATTCTTAATGTAATCCAATTGAAATAGGAAAATACTTGGTCAAACCACCTTGTGTTTGAACAAGTAACAGCTTCTACATACATATCATTAATGACTTAAATATAAGCATTATTAACTCCTTTCTTTACTAGAACTCTCAAGAGCCTTCTCTTAGAACTCTATCATACTCTTTTTTTTCTTAAATCAATAAATATCATATGTAGATCCTCCATACTCTCTATCTTCTACATCACACCTCTCCACAAAAGTATAGCTTCCATAGAAACAAAAATTTGTATAAAGCAAAAAAAAATGATCATTTCAAAATACAAAAAAGGGGCAGTTCTAAGTTATAGGTCACATCTAAATTCAATCATATGAAACAAAAGTAATCGTAGCAAGTTGGAAGTAAAACACAACAAAACTTCAACAAAGAAATATATACCTGAGAGACAATCTTCCTGATCTGTGGTTCAAATCCCATATCCAACATACGATCTGCCTCATCCAGCACAAGGTATGTCACCCTCCGTAAGTTAGTATGATGTGACTCTAACATATCAATCAACCGGCCAGGTGTGGCAATTACAATTTCAACACCTGAATCAAAAATAAACAACAAATATATTCATCAATGATTATGCACTTTTGAAGTTTCATCGATTTAAGCATATGTAATGCAATGTGGAATATTTGCGAATATCTAAAGGGTGTGATTTTATAATCATGTCCAGCCCATCTTGAAATAAAACTAAAATTCCATACATTTACCAAAATCTTGGTTAATTACAAAACTAATTGCCTACATCACTCAACAAAATTCCACCCAAGTATTTAAATTCAAAACAAGACACCAATGCAATTTTTTTTTTATTTTTGTTAAATTTTCAATGATTTCATTGTGGCGTGCACAAAGATATGGGTTGGCTAGTTGCTTTTGCTGCGATAGGTGGTAGTTATGTACTTATGTTAACATGGTAGATTCAATTGCACATGCATAAATCTTCGTGCAAAGAGAACCTTGTTAATAAATGTTTCACATCAGCACATAGTTTCAACCAATTGACAGGCCTAAACGTATAATTAACGTATCAAAGCATCAAAATTTTATGTTGCATACCTTTTTGGAGATCTCGAACCTGAGGGCCCTTGGGAACACCACCATATATGCAAGTATTTTTTATCTTTGATGATGCTCCAAATTTAGTTGCCTCTTGTTGTATCTGAACAGCAAGTTCACGAGTGGGAGCCAAGACCAAGACAATTGGACCATCACCAAGTGCTGTAATAAAAAAACATAGATTCAATGAAATCTCCTGACCAATAAAATCAAACCAAAACATTTTAACAAAAATTGCTCAACTTTCCCAACCTAAAATTGGTTGAGCATTCACATGAATAATGGCAGGCAATAGATAAGCCAATGTCTTTCCCGATCCTGTTTCAGCAATACCAATAAGGTCACGACCCTTCATGGCCATTGGCCATCCTTGTGCTTGAATGGGTGTAGGTTCAACAAACCCAGCTTTAGCAATTTCTTGCATAACATAATCTGAAAAGAATATGCCAATGGCATACCCAAACTGTAAGTTACAATTTAATAAAGGCAGAAGATAATTAAATAGAAAAAACAAAATTAGATAAGTTTCGATATATTTTTCCAATGAGATCAACATCTTTGTAAAAAGCATCAAAACAATAAGGTATTTATATGATTAGCATTCCATAATGGTGTTGAATTCAATGATCACGCTCATTGAAAAACTTCAAAAAAAAAAAAAAAAAAGAGGACAGCAAAATGAATACTCATGTGGATGAGAAATCAAGGAGAGATTGCATTAAAGAAAACGAATACTCATCCGTCTATATTGTATATGTTGTATATATATTATACATCAGACTTCATTAAGTAACATTTTAACTAGTTTTTGCAGGTTCAAAATCAGTAGTTTGGAAAATCTACATGATTGGTTAACAAAGTTTCCATGAAATCTTTTCTTCTTCTAATTCTCTCCCTCTATAATTCTAGAGGGAAGAAACTCTATGTATATATATTCCATCAAAACCTAGATTCAGCCCATAAACAAGCCATTCCTCCTTTTTATACCCCAAGGCCCAAGTCAATATTTTGCTCGTCTCATCTCCCTCATCAGTCAAACTCCCCTCCACTTAGTGTCACCTTCTTGATCTCTTTGGAGGAACCGCCTCTACCAGTGATTCATGAGTCCTATCTTGGAAGAAGAGATCAAACTTCTTCCCTGTCGCCATCTGACCTTCATCTACTCATCATTGGCATTTATCTAAAGCCAGAAATTGGTCAGCTCCACCAATCTATCATTCACAATCATAAGATTTGCCTCAAACAAACGTTGGACTGCATATGTACCGTTCCAGGTAGTATGTTCACCACCTACCACCCATATCCAGGCCAAATCTTATTGGTAGCCCAAATACTTCAATGGCTTCCTGACATTAATGAACTCTCCGGCAACTCACTTGGACCTTACACTCCAACCATTGGCATTTTGGTAATGGAAAACCATGCTATGACACTAGTAGTCAAATTGTATTGTAAGTCAACCCATGTGTTTTTGCTTCTAAATAGCTTTTCAGTTGTCATTATTAGGCACGTCCCTTTATTGGCAAGGTAGGTGCATCACAGCTTAATTGCAAGTGTGTGCCATATTTTTTTTCTCATGCTTCCAATTTCTATAATGACTTAAGTATCACAAAGTGGTGCTAAATTTGAACATTCAAGACCTAGGAGTCCCCCCTCCAGTGCAATGAACAATTTTGCATATAATTCCACATATTTCACACACGGTAGATTAAAGGCATGAAATCCACCACAAATATGCATCACTTGATTTCTTCCTAATTGAATAACTTACTATTTAGTATCACTTTTTGCATCCAATGGAAATACAAACTGCGTACACCATGAACTTTCTAAGATAGATGCACCGCTAGATTTCCTTTTAAATCGACTGGTTTACGAATCATTGTTCCTTTTTTTAGCACTGGAAATGCAAAACACAAAACGTCTATGAGGACATTTTCTTCTAATAATTCTCTCAACTTATCTTGGCATCTTGCTAAGCTCTCATCACAATGCAAATCATATATCCATTATACTTTCACTAAAATATGTGAAAGCACAATCGCATGACTGTCTAACAGGTATACGCATATATACATGACAATATAGGTCATTGTAAAATTAATAAAACTTCCATCCAAAACGTAGAGAGATAAAAGAAGGTAATAACGGTGGGAAAAAGGTATCCAAAGAAAGAGAAAATTGTACTAACTAGAACAGAGCCAAAACAAATCTCACAAATCGTTTCTTAATAACCATCCTCTTCTGCCCCCATTTCCCAAGCTAAACAAATCGAACTGTTAATTATTATGAGTGCAGAACACAACAAAGCGTATAAATCAGTTTAGGTCGAAGTTGGGCTGCTCGGGAAAAAAAAAAACTCGGATGTAAAAATGCTCCAACAGTAAATAAATTCATGCGTACCAGGAAAACCAATATCACGGAATTCCCTAATGGGCCTCGGAACATCCCGGCCCTCCACCGTAATCTCCCGCTTACGACGATACTCCTCCACGTCAGCCTCGGTCATCGAAGACACTGAAGGAGACTCTTTATAGAAGTTCTTCTCGAACGGCACCAAGCCATCCAAATCCGCCAATCCTTCAGTCTCCTTGACGCTGGAGGACTTATAGCTCTTTCCATAGCTAGAAAGGCCTCCGTCACTATAGCCCACATCGCTGAAAACATGGAAAGAAATGCAGATAAGAAGACGATCTTAACGAGTTCAGCAGCGGATCAACAATAGGCCGTTAGGGTTACCTTCTCCGGTCGCGGTAGGAGGTGGGGTCGCCGGCTCGGCCGTCGTAGCGGCTCATGACGGTCACTACTTCGCCGGCCTGAGGGAGGGAAAAAGGCGCCGCCTGCGTTTAGTGTAGTTATTTGGAGAAGGGGTTAGCCTCCTGGAAGTAGAAAGAAGGGCGTGTGGGAATTGGAAACAGGGAAGAACCCCATAGATCAGAAGGCTGTGATCAGATTTACGCGGACGATGAATGAAATAGGAGCCGTTGGATGCAACCGGTCCGGTCCCTGCGGCCTACTGTACTAGACAAACCGTATACTAGAGTTAGGGATCGAGAATTGGAGATTTCAGATTTTATTTGTAATATTTTATATATAATTTGTTTAGAATATTGGCAATTGATTTGTTAATTGTAATTCATATTTTATTTTTATTTATTTGTGTAATATTTTGTGATGTAGAATTTAAAATATCTAAGTGTCAAATATAAAATCAAATTCTAGAACTAGGTTAGCAAATACAATAAATATTTTTTAAATGAAATTTTGATTTCTTATAAGCAAATACTCACTAGGAAAAAATGTGTAATTCTTATAATCCATGAATTTATTAATTAGTATTGAAATGAAATTATTATATAATTTGATAAATATGCATTCAAATATAGACTCAAAATTCATAATAGATATTCAAACACTTTTTAAAGGTACTTATGTAACAATATATATATATTGTAAGACTAAACCTTTTTACGTGGAAAATTTAAAAAGGGAAAAAATAACAGGGCTAGGCTGAGGCTAGCCCGAATTAAAAATTCACTATCTATACAAGAATATAAGAATCATTCATTCCTTATAGTTGAAGAAAAATATTACTAGTTAAAAATAAATTTCTAATTTCTCTTATGAGATTAATAGAAGTCAAGCGTCCATAGATAGATAATTAACACTCAACATCATTGCTTGATTTTCTCAAATTAAATTATATAAAGTAGGTGTCCACAAACGGACAGTTATACACAACAGCACTGTTATATCTTGTCAGAATTCTAGAGATAGTGGCAATTTATTGATAGTCATCATTTGTGGTGATGGTGGTTGTCGATGGCAATAATTGGTGGTGGTCGTTGACTGTGGTAACTGGAAAATACAATAGAGCTCTCGAATTTTCTCATTTCTTCCCCCTCTCATATGAAAAATATGGTTCTATTCATAAACTTTTTAAGACGAGCATTTTGGTAATTTGAACAAAAATTCAAACACTCAATCATATGGTTCATACCAATTCCTTTGTCCATACATTTTTTCAGCATTTAAGTACTTTAATGATGTCAGAATTGGGTTGTCTTAGGCTCGCTAGATTCGTCCGAGCCACTCGATTCAACTACAACCATGTCAAATTTGTAGTTTAGATCATCATTATTTTAATTTTAAAATTTTCAATTCAAAAATCATCTCAAAATTCATACATATTATATGATTTTTAAAGTCATATCAATATCATTGAAACTAGCAACACAAAGTAAGATATGGTTAATATATGGCTGCGAATTTCAGAGTGAAGTTGAGTGATTTGTAGTGGCTTGCCTTAACACACATTTACTAGATTATTATTATTGCCTATCATATTATATTTAAAATAGATTGAAAGCCACTTCTCTGGTTCTACGTGCAGGATAAAATGCTCCATTACAGCCCTTCGCATAAGAATAGCATTCTTATATTGTGTTGAAAAAAAAATAAAAAATTTGATTTTTAGGATTGAGTTGATAGTTGATACTTTTTAGGGAAGATAGCTCATCATGGAGGATCCTTCAATGAAGGAGAAATTATTTTGTGCGGAGTCCGAACGGAAAGAACCGTCCAGATATGTGAGTGTACATATTTGTACACAGTATGTATTAAATCAGTGTACAGTGTACACACTATTTGTACATAGTATATACGCACTATTTTGTACACTCACAGTACGGACGGTTATTCCCGCTCGTACTCCGCACAAAATAATTTATCTCACTGAAGGGGCAGAAATTGAAAATAAAGAAAGCATCTTATGTTGTCATATGCACGTCTTTTATTTATTATTAACCTTGTAGAATTTCATTATGCTACAATCATTCATTTATATCAGCAAAATCATTTGCATGTTTGGATTTGCAAAGGTAGCTAAAGTAGTAGAGATTAAAACATAAATGGGGTGGTGTAAAGCTAGACTAGGTAAGATGGGTTTGGCTCGTGTGATGCACCGCATCAGGGTCTTCTCATCAACCCCCTCGTAGTCGTAGGTTTATTCATCGAAAGCATAATAAATTCTTTTAGTTCAAATTTGTAAAGCCCTCCCAAAGCATTAGACTTAAAAGTTGCATTAAAAAAGAAAAGAAAAGAAAAAAAGAAAGCCTACCAACCATGGCTTGTGAAGCCCCACTGCATTTAACAAAGTTGACTACTTTTAAAGATGTTGTACATTATTTATTTTTTAAATATTTATGATTCATTTGGGACAGCTTATAGCATAATTTAAAAAGAAAAATTGTGAAAAAATAGCGTTTAAAAGCTATCCAAAACGAAACTTTAGTTAGAATTCATACAAATTGATATCATTTGTTTCATAAAGCTTTGGAAATTTATTGGGACGATAGCCTAATCAGCCTTACCAATTTTGGAAAAAATAAAGATACCTATGCACATACGTGAAACATGTATTAGAAAATTCTAAGAGCGTAAAATAGCCTAAACACTTCAAAAATTTAGAATTAAATTATAAATATTAATTTAAATTCTAGTAATAGCATAAAGTGATGATAAATTAGGAATTAATTCATTAATTCGATAAAGGTACAGCACTACACGGATATCACATAAAATTTATGCATCAATGTTATGAATAAAAGTTCAAAATGCACGACGCTTATTCAGTCGACTAGGGTTATCGATCGAGGTCCTAAATTTAAGCTTGCTAGCTGCTAGGTCATCCAAGGATATAGTAGGGGTGTCAATTTTTGACACGTCACGAAACACGATCCGAACCCGACCCAAAAAAATCCGGGTTCGGGTCAACCCAAACCCGAAACGGGTCGGGTTCGGGTTGAAGAAATCAACCCGTTTTAAAAATCGGGTCGGGTTCGGATTGACACGGAAACACGAAATTGACCCGAAAGTGACACAAAAACTCATATTTGACCCGAAAATCCGAGTTTGACCCGTTTTTACCCGATTTTGACCCGAAAAACGAAGATTGACCCGATTTTTGACCCGAAACTAGCAATTCCGGGTCATTCGTGTCGGGTCGGATTGACCCGAACCCGAATCGGGTCGGATTCGGGTCCAGAAAACCTGACCCGTTTTTAAAAACGGGTCGGGTTCGGGTTGACCCGAACAGTGCCGGGTCAGTTCCGGGTTCGACCCGAACTCGACCCGTTGACCCGAATTGACACCCCTAGGATATAGTGAAATGTTGCTGTGTGGTACATAAAACAAGTTAAAAATTCACATATATTCCTCGATATACTCTGGAGCTTTGTGAAGAGACGAATGATTGTTAATCTGATCCCCTGATCACTATTGCCTATGTTTATCTAATAGTAGCTGACTCAAAATATTATTTAATTTTAAATTTTGCCAATTATATACAGCTTCAATAATTATAAAATTTTATGATTATTTTATAATGAGATCCACATATACTTAAAAATTTAGCTCAAATCTCATTTAAATAAAATTAAATAATTTGAATTAAGCACAAATCAAATTTAAGTGATTTGCAATTTTTATAAAAAATCAGATTTTTTGAATTAATCGCCTCCGAAGTCCGAAGTCAGCGTCCGCCTCTTTCACACGTATTCTTTTGCCGTTTGTGTAAGGCTCGAATCGATACTTATCCCTCGCTTGGAGATGATGGCTCTCTTCCAATGGCGGTTCAACTTTCAATAACGGCGCTGCTCCTCTTTCTTGCCTCCTTCTTTGCTTTCTTCATCGCCTATCTGCACGCTAAGCGGCGGAGGTGGCGCTGTCGAGATTCCGCCGCTGAATCGCCGCTGTGTCAGCTGGAAACCGACGGTGATACGTCTCTGCCCCAGCCTCCGCTCTCGTCTGTGGGCGGAGAGGAGGCGGAGAAGCAGAGGGGGGAGGAAGGGAGGAAGAAGAAGAGAGGAAGGAAGAAGCGAATGGAGAGAAGGCTGGAAGGCGGCGAGGACGCTGCAGCGTGCCGCACGAGTGGGGAGGGGAGAGCGGATTTTCCCTATCCATTTTCTTCATGCACGAGCGCGACTCAGAGGAAGATTAAGTTGCAGTACGATGAGATAGTGAAGTCCAACGAGGCGAAGGCATTGACCATGGCTCAGGTCATTCTCGGTTTCATTCCTTCTAAGCATTTTTTCTTTTCTTAATTTTATTTTTTTAAGCAATTATAGGATGCTCGATTTTCTTTGGCGATTTTGTTGAATTGGTCGCAGAGAGGGCGAATTGGAAATTGGGAAGGGAAAATTCGGAGACTTGCTGCGCTGTTGTTTGACATTTTAGAAATTTAAAGTTTTTCTTGATTTTTCTGTCTACTTAACAAAACAGCGGAGAAATATTCCAGTTATTTCTTAGAGTTTTGAGCACGAACTTAATTTTTTTAGCAGTAGAGGGATATGCCACCGGAGCTATTGTTCATTGGCAAATGTGGATATCTGAATTTTTATTGTTATCTTTCATTTTTGAGGCTGAAGTTGTATTCAGCTTAATTTTTCATATGAACGGATTGAACGCTCAACTCATTCACATTTCAAATTTTCTGTGCTAGGGAGCATAGCTGCATTTGCATAGAACTAATAAGCCAGGGCCATCTTTTCATTGATATTCGCTCCTTTCCAGAGAAACTAAGCTCTAACAGCTTCCTGCTTCATCTATTTCATTTTTCTGGTTACATTGAAAGAAAGGTATATATTGGAGAGTTGTTGAGTTGTCTTTCCATATAAATTATTTTGTTTGACACTCAACCGATCTACATTCATATCTAATCTCCACAATCTGACGTACTAAAGCACTACAAACTCTTTCACTCAAACAGCAGGTGAAGAAACCTTCACAACCTCACTCTCTTCTTCATGATTGGGTGAAACCCAAATAACTATCCATAACGAGCTAGGAAACCCAAAACCCAATACAAAATTGCACAATAAAATACCTGTCTGAAGTTCTATTGAAGATTGTTGGTGAATAAAGTAATTGGAGACTTTTCAGGGACATTTGATTTTCATCATAAAGCTTTCCTAAATGATCTTATAAGATAATGACTTAGATTTTACGAATCCATTAATATTTTCCTCTCCAAACATGTATTTGCAGACCAAAAAGTCATCTTAAAATAACTCAAAATATTCCTTAGTGAAAAGATTTCAAAACACTTTTCCAATGGGCTACAAAAGTTAGCCTTTATTCGGCTAAAATGTGACCCTAGTGCAGATAAACTGATAAACTAGATTCACTTTGATGTTTAGTGTTTTTCTCAGGTTCAGGAAGAAATAGCTAATTTTTTGAAAAATCATAAATTTTTTTAATAAAAAATATATAAAATTTTATGTAAACAACTTCATGAAATTAAAATTAAGCCAAAATTCATTAAATATATCATAGTTACTTCATTAACCTTCATAATAATCTAAAATGTGTTGAATGTCTTGTAAACCTTTCTTCACTCAAAATTTTGTGTCTTTTTAGGAGAAGCTACTTCAGGTTTTCTCGGTAGATCATTTTGTATTTCCATTTGGTTTGATAATGATATAGGCGAGTTTATATGACTCTTCTGGGTCATGCAAAGCCCCTTCAGTCTACTTTATGATTAGTTCTAATTTGCATTATTTTTTAATGTCTCATACCTAGGTAAGTTTAATCTCTTGATCTCACTAAGAATATGCATGGGGTGTCATACTTTGTTTGATTGATTGGCATGTTGATGTTGGCATACTCTTCCTGTTGAGTCTGACCCAATTGACCGAGGTGAATGGTCAACGCAAAACTAGTTTGTCTTATAGTGCTTCTGAGAACTTAGTTCTATTCAGTCAATAGTAGTTGGCCATCTGTGCCAGGCTAGAGTAAACTCAAATTTTAGTGTTGGATGAGTAGTTAACAAAATCCAGCTAATTGCAGAACTTCTTTCTTCGTTTCCATGTGGATGACTTGGATTTTCTTTGCGAAGGAAACCATTTTTGTCGATCTCAGCCTTATGACAACCGATACACCCTTTCACTCTAAGGACATCAGTACTTCTAAGTCATACATTTCTGACTCCTATTAATGTTCTAAACACACCATCATGCATCTTCAATTGTGTCATGCTAATATTGATATGCAACATTTTTTTTTGTAAGAGCGTAGCCACTGACAAATGGCTCCTAAGTGAAAAAACAACAACTTATTATGGCACATGTAAGGTAAGCAAGTTGCCAAGCTTAACTACAATATGCTCATCGTTGCATTTTCTCCATCATTTATCAAATTAGCATTAACTAAATATACACCCAAACAATATGTAACAATATTAACATCTACTAGCTTGTCCTCCTAATGGTTGTCACCAGCGCACTTTTCTATCCTCTTTAAAACATGTCAATTTCTCTTAAGATGCAATGTTTCTTTCAATAAAAGCAAGCCTTTCCCTTGTATCTCCAATGAGACTTACTTCTATCTTTGTTGAATTCAGATTTGTCCAGTGGTTGATACCTGAATTTACTAGCATATTTGCCTAGTGAACTGAGAATCTACTAGTGGGAATGGAGAGTATATGTAGTTGGCGAGTCGTCTAATAAGGTAGACTAATGGTGAAGGGAGCCCGAGGTCGCCTTGTTGTGAAAGGTGAGGAATGTCATTTGCAGGGATGAAGCATCCCTGGGCCTAGTAGTGGTAACCGAATGGAGTGTGACATCCTTGGGGTAGGCACTTTTCTGTAGCTAAGTCTAGCAAGCTTGGAGGAGGATTTGATTGAGATGACTAACAATCTATTCACTTAGTGAGGAGCTTCTTGGTCGTCTAGCATATGGCAAGCCCCTTGGCGGATGTGAGCGAGTGACGCACTTCGTTCCCCTTGGGCGAGTACCTCTGCTGGCCTTGAGCAAGTCCTTTGATTGATCTTCTTCAATGAGGGAGTACACTCATCGCTACGGGTGTCAATATATGATACGACCTGAATTCGACCAAAATTTTTTGGTCTAGGTCAACTTGTTTGAAAATGGGTCGGGTTTGGGTTCCTTATTCTGACCCGATTGCAATTTTGGGTCGGGTTTGAGTCAAACCGAAAGCAACCCAAAATTGTCTCGTTTCACTCTCCATCGTGGTTGCCTGCTTGTCCCGCTCGCGCGTTGGACGCCTTGCCCGCTGGCCCTATCGCGCTTGCTCGCACTCTCAACCGCCCACGCTCAATCACCCATAACACTCAAACCGGTTCAGCGAGTCGGGTTAGGTCGAATCGGGTTAGAGGTGGGTCTGGGTTTGTGACACGTTTGGCTAATTGAGTTGGTTTAAGTCGGGTCAATTTCGAGTTGGACCCGAATCCGACCCGAAACCTCATTTTGACAGCCCTACTCATTGCGACCTAGTGGCTACCTATTATAACACCTAAGAAGGCGATCTTGATTCGAGGTAGATTACTTCTTAAAGGATCTTCCCTAACCAAATCCATTCGTGGGCATTTCATTTATAACACTTTCAAGCTTAGCAGCACTTTTTAGAAATAAATGAGTCCTTAACATTCTTTTTACTCGATACTATCTTTATTCTTCAATATGGTGCCATGGAATGCTTGTAAGAGGGAGACATGATTTTAGAACTTAGGTTGCATCAATTTGACATCAAAGCATTAGGTTGTTTGGCGAGTCTTCCTTTTTCTTAAAAAAAGGATAGTCAAAATAATCAAGCGGGTTGGCAACGTATGTTTATGCAACAAATGGTTAATCTACAATAATAAATTGAAGTAATGGCTAATACTCATACAATACATTAGGTGCACCGACGATTCTTTGTTAAATGGAGTGGACGTCCCCTGACTGACTGTACTTGGATTGAAGCTGAGGAGTTGCAGCTTCGTCATCCTGATATCTACCAGCGTATTATTGAGACATTCTCATCAGGAGATGGGATTCTTCCACCAGGGAAGAATTGAAATGGTCAAGAATTTACATTTTATGTTTTTTTTTTGTTGAATGCTATGTTTATTTTGTAATGCCCTATGATGAAAAACAATCGATGATTATGCTGGGTTCGGTGCTCTCAGGTCAGTTCACACCGTTGTCTTTCCACTCGTGTTGATCTTGCCCCTTGGTGACTGGTTGGGTGATTATTTATGGGTTGTTTCTTTACCTTATTGGTCTTGGCCCATTTCTTCTGCTTTATTAATGGCTTCTTAAGTTTTTTCCATGCTGTCCACGCGGTTTCCATGTTGGCTGTTTGGTTTCCATGTTGTCCGCTTGATTTCCATACTATCTTTTCATTTTCCTTGCTGTCTTTTCGTTTTTCATGTTGTCCACTCGATTTCCTTGTTGCTATCCACTCGGTTTCCTTGCTGTTCACTCGGTTTCCTTGCTGTTGGCTGCTCGGTTTTCGAATTGTTGTTTCCTTGTGTAGAAAGCTTTGGCTTCTTCACTTGTGGGCTGATTTGGGTGGGTTTTATTGGTTGTTTTATCCAGTAAATGCTCTTCCCCCTTCTTTCTCCTATAAATTGGGGATAGATTGCTTTGTGGAAAAAAAAAAGAGTTTTGAAAAGAAAAAAAAATGTTAACCTGAGGGCTTTTTTAAGCTTGCGAGCTGGTTTCTCCCTATCCACTATTACTTCGTCTCGGTCTTCTTTTTACTTCTTCTCTCCACGATTTCCTTTCCACCTGTATCATTCTTCTCTAAACTATTGCGAGTTAATCATTTTAAACCCGAGGGTTTCTTCTAAGATTGAGCGCTGTCTTCTACCTTCTCGCAACTTCTTTGTTTCGGTCTTCTTTCTACTTCTTCTCTCCACGATTTTTCCTTCCACCTGTATCTTTCTTTTCTAAACTATTATGAGTAGTAAGTGATGATGTGCCTTGTTCTTTTGGTATTTGTCGGAGTAGCAAAGTCCTGTATTGGGTCATAATTTCTTTAGTGGTTAGCTGTGTGGTGGTTAGTTGTTTTGTCTTTTCCTTTGAGCACCTTCCCTAGTTTGTATTTGCATGTGAGGTAATCATTCGTGGTTGTTCTGAGAGTTTATAGATTATGTGTTTTGTTATTTATTTTTTCTTATGCAACTTCCTAACAAATTTTGTATATTAATTTTCTACTAAGTGTCCATCATTTTGGTGTTTGTTTATGTGAAATTGAAAGGAACTATCTTAATTTGTATTCCTAGTGTTCTCAAACTTAGTTTAAGAACTTAGGTTGCATTAATGTGTAACAAATATAATATCTAATTTTGATAAAATTTCTTGGTCTCCTTTCAATCATACATAACGACTCCAATTTTAGTCACAACCCATATAATGTTGTTTCATCTTTAAGACCTCATCCTCAAAATACTATTGTACAAAAAAAAGAGATTTTTCATCCGTTTTTATTTTATTTTTCTTCACGCATGGTCTTAGGCATATTCAAATGCTTAATAAGTGTTTGCATATGTTTGTTAGGATATCTTACAGTATAGTTAATCATAACTCAAAACCCTTTGATCCATTAAACTTCTCAATCTCATACTTCATGATCATTATCTTTTGTATTTGTCTCTAATACTAAATCTAAGTAAAAAAAAATTAGCTTTTGCACGAAAACATCATCCAAGGGCAAAAATTATAGGAAAAAAAAAAAGATCAAGCACAACAAAATGATAGCAATATTTATATGTTTTGGCCATGTTGATATCCCTTTTGATTTAGGCTTGTTGTTCGGTCTAGGCTTGCCTCTATCATCTATCCATATATACTCCGAATGGGTTACACGTAGACAATCTTAAGTGTATCACAATGACAAGGGATTGGGTATGCAAAGTACCCCCTTTGTGATGTTAAAAATGATGTAGACTTGTTGGCGAAAAGTCCTTATGTTTTACCTTTCATTTGTATGATTTTTAGGGGTAAGGAGATCTAGTTGTGTTCACCACAAGGTCTTAGTATTCTCAAAATTTTATTTGTTTCTTTCGGAAAAGTAGGGTCTTAATGTGGATCCAATGAGGCTTTAAACCTAAGAATTGAGTGACATGTTAACTCATTATTTTGATTAAATTCTTGCAATTTACTTTTTGGAATTGGAGATCATAAATAGTTGAATTGACTTGAGAAATTAGTCCCATATTCTTTGTGTTTTCCTTCCTTTTTATGAATATGAGGGCTTTGCATGAGCCAAGGGAGAAAAGAAAAGGCGAATCTCTAATGAAACACCGCCTTAACACTCAATTGGATGAAAAGGTGGCTTTGTTATAACCTTGTTGTGCTATCCATTTTAAGTTGTAATCTTAAACTCAATTGTCACTTCTTACCACCTTCGCTTCTTTCCTCTTGCAATTCCATTGCTTTCCAACCTTCACAGCTTTCATTTGATATTGACACTCTTGTCTCTTATAAAGAGCTGCTAAACAATTAAAATAAATAGGTATAGTAGTACCATAAAAGGAAAGTTCAAGCTCCGGGTCAGATTTGTGAATTCTTCAAATTGAAAATCTTTGCAAGGAGGTTCGAGGGGAATTTGCTTGCGATTGGAGAAAAGAGCATGATATCCCCTAATCAAGGAACAAAGAGATTCTTTATTTTCACTTTATATTTAGAAGATAGAAGATTGATATGGAAGAGAATGTTACATATTTGATAATCTTGTGTCACCCACAAATTACATCTTAGATAAATATTGTGAAAAAAAATTGTTAGTCTGTGTATTGAAACCCACTTGAATTAGATCTTCCAAGTCTTGTGATTGGCGACTTTAAAAGAAGATAAGTTTTGTCGGGTGAAGATAAAAATTTCCGTAAATTAGAGATATAATCCAACCATCTTCGATTGTAGCCATATGATACACCTTAAAAAAAAAAACCTAGATGAGGTCCCACTTAGGTTCCAATTTTTCATGCGAGTGTAGACAAAGGACCTTTAGATCATGAGCACCATGCTTCCTTCTTTGAATGATCTCCTGTGGGCCAACTTTTCAAAGTCGTGAACCATGTGTGATTGGTCGATCTCCATTTTTGTATGTGCCTTGAGGTTTTGCTCATCGAAGGATTCCAACTCGAAGGTATCTCTCTTCCATTCTTTGGCCAGCAAGCAGAAAAGTGATATCTTAGGGTGTGCTAGCCCGTGTACTCTTCTACTTATTCTGCGAGACTCCATCCAAATTCACCACTCACATGTTGGTTGGTGTTCTATTCTTTGATTTTATACTATGCTTTACTCTTTCATTTGTCGCCCTAGTCATAGGTTTCTTCCTGCCCCAACCCAACATTTTAGATTGTTATGCCAAGGCAATACACACTTCTGCAGTTACTCATTCAATTAAGAGCCTTTCTTCTCTATTTAAATAGAAGGCCAGTTCAATATCATACCCTAAACAACTGAATGGATTAAGGTAGGATTTGGATTTGAAAAAATAAAAAAATTGCTATTTTTAACTCTTTTTTAAAAAATTTGATCTGCTGCAGTTCGAACACAACAATATTCATCCTTTTGGGGCAATGCTCTTAATGGTTAATTGATCATTCACTATTCCTTGAATTATGAGAGGATAGAATGGAAGGAAACTAATGAAAGACTGATCTCAAGCTTGTTGGATGTCCAATGACTCAACATAATTAAGGTTTGCATGTAATTATACACAACCTTTTGGACACGGTGGTAGGAGCCTTCATATTGCCATTATGCCTTGCTGATGTACTTTTTTAGTTTTTGTAGCCTCGTTTTCTGATTGCAAGCTTACTGGATGTCTAATGATTTGGTAGAGTGGAAGCCTATAACCTGCAACACATGACTCTTTAGGCATGATGGTGAAGTCTTTACACCATTGCTCCACCTTGGTTTCCAACTCCAAACTTACTTGATGCCTAATAACCCAATAAAGTTGACACCAAAAACTAGCCACACATCATCTTTTGGATGTAACGGAGAGACCCAAGTCTCCATGGCATCCACAATTGATCAAAATCTCACTAGGCTTATGAAGACCTAGTATAGCAGAGCTGATTGTCTCCCATACACGTCCTTGTGCTAGATTTTTATTAAAGTTCTACCAAAATTCCATTAAAATGCCATGAACTAGAAATTTCCAATGAATCACTCATGATTAGTTGGCGCAGCTGTACTTAACAATCGTATGAATTAGAAGTAAGGATATTCTCACTGATTGTTGGGTTATGAGGGATATAGATGATGTAGGACTAGCATTTGAAGACTTGCATTATGAAATTAAACGCAAGTTGAATTTAAAATCAACAAGCTATGGAAAAGTAGTTTTGGGAGAGGGAAAATTGAACTTTGCAATTAATGGGTCAATTTCCCATTAATTAACATGAAGAGTTCTAAGAGTGGGCCAACCATGGGGAAAGGAAAGCGGTCGTGGCTTTTCCAATTCCCAACTAATTTTGAAAATGAAAATAAGGAGAGACAATTATTGTGTCAACTTTCTCTTAATTAACATGAAGGGTTCCAAGATACAAGTGGGGTCCAATTGGAATCCCAAAGGTCAAAATTTTATATTTGGAAAATTTTGGATTGGGAACTTGGATGGGGAGCTGATGGGGGTAGGCTTGCCGTGGGCGGTGGAAGGGGAAGGGGTGGCTGGCCGAGAAAGGGAGGGGAAGAGGGGTTGACCGGCGGTTAGGGAGGAAGGAGGGAAAGGGGAAGAGAAACAAGGGAAAAACCAAGAGCTCACTTTAATGGACTGTTGGGTACTTCATTTGCCTTCTCCTAAGGCTGCACCACTCCACCACACTCACTCTCACTCAAGAGAAAGGGCTGAAATCAGAATTCATTCAAAAATAATCATCATAAAAAATTGTTTATAGGGCTGCAAGGAAAAACTAAATCTATTACATCCTTAAAAGAGTTGTGAAACGTAATTAGTAAGTCCACAAAATATTTTTGACAGGGCCGCAAGATAGCTGCAGAGCAATCATTGACCCAAGGCTAAGTTCCACAGTTACACACACACACACACACACATATATATATATATATATATATATATATATATATATATTATTTTCCTTTGATGACTCATAGCATGTGCGTCCGCCACTCATGTACATAAAAATCTTATTTCAGGCCCAATTTGATGTTTTGTCTTTTTATTTTTTATTTTTTTGTAATTGCCACCTGCTCGACTCTTCGCCTCACGTGGTATGGGGCTGTTGGTGGCGTGATTATTGAATGGGAGAGTATGTTCTAGATATCTAAGCATAAACTTTTCTAGGAACTTTGTATGAAGTTCTTACATGCATGGATTGGTTTGTAGTTTGTACAACATTTTGCTCTTTGATAAAACTTCCATGGGAAAGTTTTACGAACTTTGGAGGTGTTTTACGTTTGTTTTTTTATGCTAAAAGCAGAAATCATCATTTCTCCATGTCTATATCAGGTAGGACAATTTGTGAACTGCCTTGTGGATGCAAGAAATGAACTACAGCACAAGTATGTAGTCTTATTAGAATGCCATTCTGTTTGCCCACTCTTTTAATCCTTTTCTGTTTATCATCCATCAAATAAATTCTTTTGTTATCCTTTAACAGATCTGAGATCATCCAGCGAAGTTTTAAGATTAAGAAGGCATTACTGTTCAAAGCAGATAAATCAACTTTCGATCGACTTTGCCAGCAGGTTTGTTGTATATCTATTATGCTTTTCAAGGGAGCTGCGCTCTCTTGTTGCTTCCATTATTGCTCTACTGTAATATGCAGGTGTACAAGTTAGAAGCAGAACACAAGAGATTAGAGGAGGATGCAGCTGTTTATAATCTCCTCCAGGAGCAGCTTAAGCTATCCCCAGCTTACAAGACGGTATTTGCAGCTCCAATCTATGTGATATTAAGGCTTCTTTTGGGACGGTTTTTTTTACTGCTTCTTAAAACGGTTTTCTAGTAAAAAAAATTAATTTTTTTAATTGAAAAGTCGTTTTAAGAAGCACTAAAAAAACCATCCCAAACGAAGCCTAAACATGCCAGAATTATAACTATGTTCTTCTCAACTCTGATGATAGATACTAGAGGTTGGAACTAGCATGGAGCCGAAGGATGCTGTGGACGAGGCCATGGATTTCTCTGAAATATCTTTCGAGGAGTTACTAGCTCAGGAGAAAAAAGATTCATTCTGGTGAGTTGCAATTTGCAAATCCTGACCATTAAGATCTACAAACCAGCAATGGAAGTTTTGTCACTTTCCTTTTGTTTGCAGGGTAAGAAATGGCAAGCTTAGATCAATTTCGAGCTAGAACAATTGAAGATCTCCAATTTATTCATCTGTTGATCTATGTTTTAACAGTTTGTACAGTTTGTTTTTCTTTTGATCATTGACCATTATAGGGATGATTAGATGTTTTCAGATCTGAAATAGTTGATGATGAAGTTCAAACACTAATTTCTGGAACTTTGATCTTACCTGGAATGTAAATGGATCTATTTTGCATTGCAATAGTTCTTCCCTACAGTTAAGAGTTGGTAATGCTTGAATATGTAAAAACTTTCAGTGGTAGTAAGCTTCGATAAGTTATTTGCTAGCTTCTTTACTCAAAGCTACATGACTTGAGTGATTTATTATTTAATTTCTATCTGTTTATGTAGCAATAAAATGGTCTATTCTATTCTCTTAGTGAGGCTGTGTTCTTTAAGAATTTGGTGGTGTCTTAGTGGTAGGTTTGTGATTTTGATGTTATTGTAATGCCAAATCCGGACCTTGGGTGGTTTGTGGTTTATTATCCTTAAAGAAATTGAATTGTAGGGCATAATTTTTGTGGTCAAGCGTAAGAGAGAGAGGGAGGGAGGGAGAGATTTCAAAAAAGTATTTGACTATTTTTGTATGGCTAATTTAGGCTTCGTTTGGAACGGCTTTCTTACTGCTTCTTAAAACAGTTTTTTCGTATAAAATTTTTAATTTTTAAACTGCAAAATTGTTTGGACGACTTTTTTAGTGCTTCATAAAGCAGCTTTCTGGCATAAAACATTTAAGAGGGATTTACATACATACCATTTTATTTCATACTATTTATATATCTAATACATTAAATTTTAATATTATATGTCTATCACTCATAGAATATATATGGGTGCATGGAATGAAATATTAAAGTTTATAGGGTAGTATAGGTGGTAAGAATAAAATATAAGAGTTGATACGTCATCATGAAATTATCTTGATCGGGCACTAATCTTGAGGAATAAATCAAGTTGGAAACTTCAAAATTTAATTATGGATCATCTGAACTCCGATTTCAGCAAACTTACTATCAAACTAATTGTCTCGGAAATACAAATCCAACGATACCAAATTCGACTCAATTTGAGCCCAAATGGGTCCAAATCAAGGACCCAAAGCGATGTTGGAAGATTCGAACCACAACTTGAGTTACCAAACGGTTTCCAAACATAACATGCTTATAATAGAATTGAGCGGCTCGACGAGACGAATCCAACGAGCCCAAGATTGCCAAATTCCGACATCATTAAGGCCTTCAAATATCTGACGAACGGTCTATGCTCAAGGGATTCAATATCGGCCGTCCACTCGAACCACTCCTGATTCGCCCATGATCTATCACCTATTTATGGGCCACGCCACTCCAGAAATTTATAAATATACCCCTCATTTCTCTTGTGAGGGGGGCCCAAGCAAGAAGCATTAAGTAAGAAGAAGAGAAGGATAGAAGGGAAGAAACTCCTCGACCACCGACGCCAGAGTTCTGCCCGGCGTTCAAGCAACGCCAGAATTCTGCCATGCATACAAGGAACACCCGAATTCTGCTCAACATTCAAGTGACACTAGAGTTTCACCCGAACTCCGTGACACCGGAATTCTGCCTGACTTCCACGGGACGCTAGAATTCCACCTGACCTCCAAGTGACGCTGGAGTTATATCCGATTTCCAAGTGAAACAGTGGAATGCCTCCCCTGTTAGAAAGTCAGAATGCGGGAGGAGAAAGAAAAGGTTGCAAAAAATATTTTCTTCTATAATAAAGAGGGTGCCAATTTAAGTAAGAAAAATTAGAGGAACGTCCGGTTGGAGGCAAAATCCCGACAAAAAACTCGGTATTTGCTCGTCATTGCTAGGTATTATTTGATAATAATAAGGAATACCGCTCTGTGAAGAAAAATACCAAGTTATACCGAGCTATACCGAGCAATACCGAGTTGTACCGAGTTTTTTCTAAGAAAAACTCGGTACAACTTTTGTATAACTCGATATTGCTCGGTATAGCTCGGTATAACTTGGTATTTTTCTTCACAGAGCGGTATTCCTTATTATTATCAAATAATACCTAGCAATGACGAGCAAATACCGAGTTTTTTGTCGGGATTTTGCCTCCAACCGGACGTTCCTCTACGTCTTTACTCCTTAAGTGGAGAGAAAAGAACTATGGGTCTGCACCTGTGGGTTGGTTGCTGGTAGACTCGCCGAGGAATTAGTGGACATCGCCAAATGTGTCACAAACTAATATAACAGCGGCCCGATACACCCGTTTCAAAAAAAAAAGAAAAAAAAAGAGAGAATGAGTAGTATCATTTTATCATGTGATGTGAAAGCCAATATCCACTTCTATGAGCGTTAATTAAAATAAAAAATAATAATAATTATAATAAAAGAAAAGCGGCTCGAAATACTGAGTTCGGTGTCCGCGCAGAATAATCTGTCAGCACAGCGTTTCCCCGCCCCAATTCTTCGACTGCAACGTTGTATTCTCATTTCCGTTATAAATTATCCCACTCACTGCTTTCTTCAACTCCTTCCTCGCGAGGGTTAGGGTTTTTCTCTCTCCTTCTTTCGTGTCTGCAAAGGGCAAAAGCGGCGCTGCGGTTCCCTGCGGCGGAGGTTTTTCTCGAAGCGACAATGAGCGAAGACAAGAAGAAAGGAGATATCAATACGTCGGATCTGTCCTCTGCTCTACCCTCCTACTCCCCAGGTATTCCCTCATAACTTTTTTTCTCTTGTTTTCCTTGTGAATGTATTTAGGGTTTATCCTGTTGTGGTTCTTTGGTGATAAGGTTGATTATGGCGTGTAGGTCTCAATGCAGAGGACAGAGCGGGCTTGGTCAGTGCTTTAAAGGCAAGATTTTTGGCCGAAATGGCCTTTTTTTTTTTTTACTTTTGTTTGGAGTTATTTGGTGACGACGAGGTTTTGCTCATCGTGAAATGCTGTGATTGTGAGTTGCAGAGCAAACTTCAGAGCCTGGCGGAGCAACACACGGACGTAATGGAGACGTTGTCTCCTAAGGTCAAGAAGCGTGTTGAGGTTCTTAGGGGCATCCAGGTTTTTTTTTCCACGTTTTCTCTCAGAATGCGTTCTTTCACTTTATTTAATGGGTTTTCTCTTATAATTCATAGTTTGCCGCTTTTGATTAGCACATTGTTTGTTTTTTAGGGGTATTAAAAATGAGAGATAATTGGTCTTTCCTATGCGTCTGCTATGTCGAAATTTTTTATTTATTTCTAATTTGTATTTGTGTGTGTGTGTGTTGTGGGGTTGGGAGGGAGCTGTTAGGCTGAAGTTTAGGTTTGGCCGCAGCAATTCAATAAATTTGATTCGGCAATGCTTATACTGAAAGCCATGCATGTGGTTTGTAAGATTGATTCAATAAAGCAAGTTGTGATTATAATAGGGCCTCCTTTATTAGATGGCTTAAGATGATGCCGATTCATTCATGTGAGATGGGTATAATTGCTTCCCTTGGTAAAGTTGGATGGTGGTATGCCGAGGAAATTTGGGTTTTTGTTTGGTTTACTATAAATAATTTTCTATATGAAGGAAGCCATTGCAGAGTAATTGTGGTCAAAGTTGATCAATTTTCTGTATATGGGTTTTGAGAAGGATTAAACTAAAATTGGGCCATTATAAACTAAATGCAATCCTGCTGCAACAAATCTATATGGTGGATTCCCTGAAATTTAAGATTGAACAAAATCCTTGCAAATGCAACAAAAATGGGATGTTTTTTATTTTTAGAGATTTTGAGAAGGAAACTAGCTAAAAGTTGGGTAAATGATAAGTAAATGCAGGACTTTTGCAGCAAATCAAATACACAAAAACCAAGGTCTTCATTTTGATTACTTCTATAGTTATTTTGTAATAAAGTAAATAGGCTCTGTCTTTTATCGGTGTTGGGCTTTTTTTAGAAGGACAATTATTGATGATGAATCGCGTCTTATGAATCCTCAATCTCTTGTGGAGATTGTTAAATATGGAGGCGGTGGTTGTTTCCTTCCTTTTCCACATTGATAATGGAGAGTTTTTCTCTCCTGTAATTAGTGGATTGGGACCCTAATGGATGCTGTTAGGATGAAAGTTGACCTCTAGGGTGGCCTCAAGATACTATGCATGGAGAGGTGGTTGTAATAGTTCATCTTCTTTTATTAAATTCATGACAACTTTACAGTGGTAGTCTCCTAGTTGACACCTAGTGTGGCGGCTTAGTGAAGAATCATCAAGTGGATTTAAAGATGGAATAAAATTGTTTTTTATATTAAGATTCCGATAAACTTCTATATTCTCGAAACTTGAAAAGATAAGAAAGCAGGCAAAACATTTTTTGAGCCTCTTTGCTTCATAAAATAGATGTTTCTAAAAATTGTGTAAATCTGGTAAACAACATAAGAAGTATTGGTTTTCGTACTCTTAAGTTATCTTGCTTTTGAAAGACTAGAGATTACGTAAAAAACAATGCTTGGTTGAATTATTGAAGAGCAAGACTATGAACTAAAATATGACAACATACATGAAGATGATGAGAAAGTTTGAGAATAATTTTGTGATCTAGATATTAGGGATGCAAGTCCTATTATTCTTTAAAGTTTGTTGAAACTAAAGATCCAAGATAAAGAATGACTTCTCGCACCATAAATTTTTTGTTTTTGTAATTACTTGATAAAAAATGTTTGGTCTTAATTTATTCTTAGTATTATTAAAACACAATAGCTTCAGAAATGATTGAAGCACTTAGTTTTAAACACGAGGAACACTTTACTTTGTTAAAAAAGTTGATGAGCTCGCTGTAGTGAAAATGTTTAATTAAGTTACCATTGGCACATATTATGAAAAATTGATTTGATTTTTACCTATTTTAATAATCTTCGTTGGAATCTTATTAATTTCTCATCTCTTACGTGTCACCGTTGATGTTGGCACTTTTTCTTATTGCTTGTTTTAAGGTATACATTTATGGCTACTATTGTTTGTTATGTGGTAATTAAAAAAAAAGAAAATATTTGTGATTTAATAACCTTTATTTTTAAAAGTGATTGATTGTTTTTCTTATTTGATAAGTATGTGTTCACTCTGATAAGATCTTTTACCTTTGTTAAATATATCATAATTTCTTATCACATACCTAGCTTCTATTCCATATCCAACATTGATGCCCTTATAACCAATCGTACTAGAAGCCCATGTACATTTGTTTAACTACCAATGACTACTCTTTTGTTCCATGAGTAGTCATTCATCCTTCCTTTGTCATTATAATTATTTATTCATTTAATTTCAAATTTTAGTTTTTATCATCTAATTTAATTTGAGGAGCATATGAACTATCTCATTTATAATATCTTTATCAATAATTAATATTTTAGCAACTCCCTATCTCTATTTCTATTCTCCTCAATGATGCTATCTTGTTCGAGTTATGTGCATACCACTGAAATCAATCCTGTTTATCAGTTTTACCACCCACGCAAAAAAAAAAAAAGAAGCAAACCAATATATTTGCACGCACAGAAACCAAATAATAGAGAATTTGATGGAATATTAAGAATGAAAGCTAATAGTTTTGTTTTAAGTTCTGAGATTTGGATGATAATTTTGTAAACAGAGGCAATCAGGTTGTAATTTTGTAAATAAAGATGAATTTAGTGTTGCAAATTAAATTTCCCTTAGTATCTTTCAACTTCTTTCACACTATTATTCCTATCCCAGACCAATTTTTCCTTCTCTTAACATACAATAGCTTATAATTGTTCTCAACTTCTTGAAATTTGCTTTTTATTTACATTTGCAAACATGTGGTATTTATTCTACTTATCTTTCTTTTGTCAACTAATTTTCTATCCTTTCCGTCAAGGCCCAAATTTCTAGTTTAAAATCCTATTTTAGCTTTAGACCGAGTTCTGAGGTGTCAATATGAAATTTTCAGGGTTGAAATGCCATGTTTGAAATAGAAATGGAAAGCCACTTTAATATGTAACTAGTAGATAATGATTATTGTGATTTATAACTTTTGCAATTTGCTTTGATGTCCTTTGATGCAATTGCTCATCACGAAGTTACCTCGGGCATAACTGGACAATTCAAGTGGGAAGCGCTACTTCTTTAAGTCAGCAACCTAATAGACTCTTAGTTATGCATATCATGTGCTGATGGTTTGGGTGAAACTTTTTTTTTTTTCACAGCTCTACCAGGGAATAAAAAAGAAAAATGAGAAAAGTGTTGACATTTATGACTGGTTTTTATTTGTATGGATTAAGATTTCCTTCCATTGCCGGTTTAATTTAAGTTTGGTGTATCACTAAGACTAATTTTATTGTATACTTTTTATCTATATTCTTAATGAACTTTTGTCCAAAATAGCTCTAAGACTAGTTTTATTGTTTTCTTTTTTATCTATATTCTTAATGAAACTTTTGTCCAAAATAGCTCGAAATAGCAATTGTTTAAAAATTTGATGCTTTAGATTAATAATCCAACTATCTTTATAATTTTTGAAATAACGCACCTTAGTTTTAATGGTTTTAAAGGATTTTGATATAATATTTCGAGCTTATAATATCAAACTTTAATTGGAAGCGGAATAATATTTCTTCTCTTAGAAAAAAATATTGGGGTGATTTGAATTGTTAGTGAATAGGTGGGTAGTGATTGTCAGGGTTGATGAATGGATTATATAGGCAGTGTTTTCCGGCCGGCTTCTTGGAGAAAGTAAGGACATTAATGAATCAAATTCCACATTGGAAGCTAAGGAAATTGTACATAGTTAGAGTTAAAAATATCTGGTGCATTTTGGTTTAATAGGTGAAGTTTCAAGGTAAACTTCACAAGTAAACATGCTTGTGATGGATCATTGTGGGGGATATGTGATATCCTCAAAAGTTTCACCAAGAAGGGTCAAAACATGGATATCAACCTAATAGGTGATGAATTGGGCCAAAATTGATAACACCTTGCATAGTGTATGATGCAATAAAAAATTTGGAAATCTAGGATTGCAAAACAAACAAGTGTCTTCTTTTTAAAAATAAGAAAATACACACTAAATAGGACACAACAACACTTACAACTCACACGACAAACAATATATTAGAACATATAAAACACCTAAAAGTTTCAGCCACCCCCCCAAGCCAACCAAGAAAGAGAAGTAAAAGACAACATTTAAATTACGTTGGGAGCCCAATAGCCAAAAGAAACCAGCCATAAATATATGCATGAACCGAACAATCAGCTAGGGAGCCGAACAGGTAATCCACGAGCAAAGCAAGGGAACCGAACAGGTATAGCAAGGGTCGGCCAAGCACAACCATCAAATAGGGACCCGAACAGGTAACACCCAGGGAACCGAAAAAAATAAGCAGCCCCCCCCCTGCCTACATCAGTGCGTGTGTGGAGAGAGAGAGAGAGAGAGACTCCAATATAGTAAAAAATCTTATGATGTTATTAAGCTCTCTCAGTCTCTCTCATCCCGCTCTACTCTGTATCTCTTTTTTGGTGCTAGCACAACAAGGCTTAAGCAACATCTCTTCGTGGGGGTATCGATTTCTGTTCTTGTTGTTCGGACTGGATACCCAAGAACAGTTAGTACTGGTTTATATTTGTATTAATGAAGATTTCATGTTATCGCCAGTTTAAGTTCCATTTGGCGTTTCACTTTGATTTTTTTTAACGTTTTTCTTGTTACCTTTTTTGTTGAATTAAATTTCTATCATCAAGGTAGGATGCTATTTCATGCAATTTATAGCTTTCAGTACATAATTATTTACAAGAGTTTTTTTTCCTTGATGTTTCTATGTGTGATAGAATGAAGTATTCTGAATTTTTTTTTTTGTAATTCAACTGTTATATGTTTCTATGTATGCTTTTATTTTGTATTTTTTCAATTGTTAAAATCTAACAAGTTAAGGCTACTAAACTAAACAAGGATTAATAGCACTATTCAACAATTTAATAATGTCTTTGTTTCATGGAATGTTCAGGTTCAACATGATGAGTTTGAGTCCAAGTTTCATGAGGAAAGAGCTGCACTTGAAGCTAAATACCAGAAGCTTTATGAACCTCTTTACACGAAGGTGATTTATCTTATTTTCACATTGTTACTCTTTTTTATTAATGCGAAATGAATTGCTGATTCATTGAAATGGGTGTGGGGAATATGCAGAGGTACGAGATTGTGAATGGTTTGGTTGAGGTTGAGGGTGTTGATGAATCTGCAGAAGATACTGCTGCTGAGGATAAAACAAATGAAGGTCCATCTTGTTGTGCCATTGATTTTATTTTTTAATTTTTAAAGATCCTAAGTTTCATAAACTTTCAATTTCTATTTGCTTATTTTAGTTCTTTTGTCCCCAGGTAAAGGTGTGCCAGATTTTTGGCTTACGGCGATGAAAACCAATGAAGTGCTGTCTGAAGAGGTTGTGAAAATTGAAAGGATTCCATAATTTCTTTTATATTGATGTTAGTCTTTGTTTAGCTTATAGTTATGTTTCCTTCCTGGATGAGATACGTGAGTGTAATAAGGATACTAATGAACTTCCTAGAGATATTACTAATAATTTGTTTTTCTTCCTGGATTAGATCCATGAGCGAGATGAGGATGCTCTGAAGCATCTTAAAGATATTAAGTGGTCCAAACTTGATGATCCAAAAGGGTTCAAGCTTGAATTCTTCTTCAATCCTAATCCTTACTTTAAGAACTCTGTTCTAACTAAAACTTATCATATGATTGATGACGATGACCCTATACTAGAGAAAGCAATTGGGCAAGCACTTCCCATTTTTTTCATTAGCTCAATATTTACTTAATTCTGATTATGTTCTCAATTGAAGGGTTCCATGTTTTCTGTTTCAGGACTGAAATTGAATGGTTACCAGGGAAATGCTTGACTCAGAAAGTTCTTAAAAAGAAACCAAAGAAGGGATCAAAAAATACTAAGCCAATTACAAAAACTGAAACATGCGAGAGTTTTTTCAATTTTTTCAGTCCTCCTCAAGTTCCTGAAGATGATGACGAACTTGATGAAGAGACTGTATGTTGCATGTTCTATCCAATTTTACTGAATAAACAGGAAAAAATATCAAAGCTTTTATATTGACTGCTATTTCTTTTTGACAGGCTGAACAGCTACAGGATCAGATGGAGCAAGATTATGATATTGGGTAAACCATTTCCAATGATATTATGGTTTTTTTTTTTTCAGAAGAATAGCTATCTGACATTTTAATATGAATTCATCGAGCTAGTCATAGCCATGAATCCATATTTTCCTGTTCCCATGAAAGGCGTCATGTTTAATGTTTTATAGGACAAGTCCTTTTCTTGAATGCAGAGTCGTTTAATTGTTCTAATGTGCTATGAGTCTTTTCTATTTTTTTCTTTAATGCAGAATAACTTAATGCGTTTATGTTAGGGTAATATTTGTAATGGGCAGTTAGGATTAGGGGTGTCAAAACGAGTCTTCGGGTCAGATTCGGATCCAACTCGGTCTTGACCCGCTGACAACTGACCTGACCTGAACCCGACCTGGTTATGGAAATGGGTTGGGAATCGGAACCCGAACCCGAACCCGACTTAGTTTGGGTTCGCATCAACCCAAATTCATTCGGAATTTTCCAGATCGGATACGGGTCGGGTTTCGATTCGGGTCAAATTTTGACACATCTAGTTAGGATTGAGTTGTTATGGGTATTGGTAGTTTATATGTAGTTAGCGTTTACTAGGTATTGAATGAGACATTAGGTGTCTTTGTATTCTATAAGTGCTCTCCCTTAGACAGTATTACTGCATGCCAATGAAAGATTGAGCTCTCTTCTCTCTCCTCCCCCAAATAATTTCTGCAGTTGTCTTCCAAATATACTTCTTGAGTTTCAGACAAGCTCCAAGTTGCCTAGTTAATTTTATCATTGTTAGGTTCGTAACAGTTTGCTTCTTGTTGGCTGTAGGTCCACTATTCGAGATAAGATTATTTCTCATGCCGTCTCATGGTTCACCGGTGAGGCTGTTCATGAGGAGTTCGGAGATATCGGAGAAGATGAAGACGACGGGGAAGAAGATGAAGATGACGAAGAAGAAGAGGAGGAAGATGATGAGGATGAAGAGGAGGAAGAAGAAGTCAAGACAAGGAAGAAGGTGAGTCTTCCATTTCATTTAAATTTCTTCTCCACTTTATACTTACTAAATGAATACTAATCTCTATGTTTTTTTGAATGCTCCAAGCAGCCTGCAGCCAGTCGGAAGGTACTAACCAAAAAACTAAACCTTGATAGAACGTCAAATCCTCGCATGATTTTTTTTTCTGCAAACTTTTTTATATCTGGCTTTGATGAGGTCTGTTTGAATCTGCAGAAGATTGGAGAAGTTCAGCAAGTTGATCGGCCTCCTGAATGCAAGCAGCAGTAGCAACTTGCAGGATTATGTTGGTTTCATCGACAAAGGTGAAATTTTTTGTTGAGCTAAATCAGGCCTTATTCAGCTCTACTATGATATTAAATGTGTGCAAGAGCATTAGTGCGTATTGTATGTTTTCAATGACAAAATAGCATACTTAATTCTTTTTTCTTATTATTAAAGGTGGCAGTTTTGGATTTTGGAATGTGATTGTTACTGTTTTTATTTATCTTATAAATAGGCATGGAAGCAAACCGAGCTGAGTTGAGTATATGCTTGTTTATGTTTGTGTTCGTTTATTATCAGCTTGTTTGTGTTCGTTTGAGCTTGATTCGAGCTTTGTTATTTGTGTTCAAATTTGGTTCGTTTAAGTTGATGGATGTTTATATTTGATTTGTTTTGTCTTTAAGCAAATGAGCTTTATTAAATTATAAATGAGTTTTACTTCTAAATATTCATTAGCTTAATGAACAAGCTTTATCGAACTTATTAACAAACATGTTTGCGAACATTTTTAGCGATTATTTCGAAATACCAAACGAGCCTGTTCGTGAAAATATCTAATAAGGGCTTTTGAGCTATCAAAACAGAATGTATATGGAAACATCTAGCGAGTGTATTATGAAAATATCTAATAATGGAGGTTCAGTATTATTATCAAATGAATATATATATATGGACCCTCCATTGAACTCGTGATTATTATGCGCATACATATTTATGATTCTTGGAATAGAATGTTTATACACAGAAATTATACTTGCTATATAATATTTTTATGTTTATTATCTAATATCTAAAATATTTTATTGACCTATAAAACTTAGATTTTATGTAGTGGGATAAAGGCATGCATACATATAATATGAATAATTCTCGAGTTAATGAAAGAAATTAAGGGCGAAAAAGGGTGATAAGGGAAGTCGATTGAAGGCTCATGTAAGATAGTTGGGGCGATGATCTAACAATGATAGGGGTGTAAGTGAGTCAAGTCGGTTCAAGCTCAGCTCGTTTAGGGTCTCGTAGGTCGAGCTCGTTATGATCTCGCAGGTCGAGTTTATCGAGTTCACGAGTCGAACTCGTTTAGTAAAAGAGCTCAAGTTTGAGTTTGATGATGCTATCTCAAATAATTATTAATATTTTAAAATAATTTTATTTTATTTATTAAATTTAAATAGTTAAATAATAATACTAATAAAGGTTTAAAAAATTTAATAATATAAAACAATTTAATATTTAAAATTAATAATAGATGTTTCAAAAATTTATAAAAAATAATAATATTTAAAAAACTCCGCCGAGCGAAGAAATCCAAACCGTTCAATCGAAAGGGATCAAGCTGGTGGCTGCGGCACAAGACCGGGAGATCGGAGAGCGAAAGCTATGGAAGCGGCGAGGAAGAAGATGATGGAGTTCTTTGGGAAGCAGGAGAACCTGATGAACTTGTTTCTCGCCGGAGCCTTCGCGGCGCTTTCATGGCGGTCTTATCAGCAGCAGAAGGAGATCGACGTGCTCGAGGCGGAGAAATCGGCTCTGCGGAGCGGCAACATGGCCATGTCCTCAACCATGTGGGCGTGGCGCGAGCACTTCTTTAACCTCGCCGAAGCTGATCCCTCGTCCGCTCCCATATCTCTCGCTCGCCTCCGCGCCATCTACGGTGAGGAGGAAATGGTTGCCGAGGCCACGTCGTCCCAGTTGGACGGAGATATCCGTCGCGGTATGTTTCGTTGAAACCCTTACCATTATAATCTTTTTAGTCATTCTTAACGAATTAGGTTAACATTGCTTTGAAGGTGTTTATTGTTGTTGTGTTACACGGGTGTGAGGTATTATAAAGAGAATGATTCTTCATATGTTTGTTTTAATCTTGTAAAAGGTATATGATCAAGCTCCAAAAGAATTGGTTTGTTTTGTCATGGATCAAAAGATAAATATTATAAAATTGGAATTATATCTATTTACTTGATAGATTTGAGTGTATGGTAGCAAAGAAGTAAATGATTCGTAGAATGATAATTTTAAGAATGATGCATGATAAATCTAAAAAGGGATAGTGTGAGAAGTGATTATATTAGGGATTGTGGTGTAGCACTTATTGAAAATAGGATATTTGAAAATATGTTTAATTGGTGTGGGCACATAAGAGGGTGGAAGATGTGCCAATAAGGTAGATAGAACTTCCCTTCAAGTGTGTAAGGTCTATAAAGAATACAAAGGATAATGGGTTCATATAAAATAATGTCTAGATTATGCAAAAAGTTATACAAAATGGAGCAACATCTAAGGTGTCCCTTTACTTCATGAACTGAGGAGTTGGAATCATAACACTTTTTTTTTTTTGGAACGAGGGTATCTACCCGCTGCCACTCTAAAAGAAATGCTTGGTAGCGTAACTAATCACTTGGCGGAACCTAACGAGGCCACTCACCGACATCGAGCCCACACTTGCTTTGTCCCACTGAAGAGGCGAGGCCGTAGTAGAGGAGATTCAAACCGGGGATGAGGGGTTCCCAACCGTGCTAGCTCACCAACAACCCTAAACTTCAGTGGGTAGAATCATAAAATTGGCTCCCCTATACTTCTGCCTTTGTACTTCCTCTTCCCACCTTTGTATTTCCACTCGCCTCTTATTGCGTTGATATGATGATCTAAATTTGTTTTAGGTAGAGTTATTCTAATTTTGGATGCTATACTAAAATCGCTTCTTGATCCTTTTGATTGGAAGACATTTGGTAATGTTATGTTGTTTTTTCATGTTGTATGGAAAGTCGTCCTTGCTTCTACCAAAAACATACAAACTGCTCTGCGACTAATGGTCTATGGTCTTGACATCTAGAAGGATCTGCATATGCAACTTGAGAACTTCCATTGCATGTTTCCCACGCCAATTAAATTTGTTATTTAAGAATTTTGAAATGCAGAACTATTAAAGAGGTATTTACAAACAGTTTGTTGCTATGGAGAATACCCTTTGCGAAGTTCCTTGAAGAATGCCTTGCAAGTTCTTGATTGAATCAATTACCGCATCTTTCATCTCATTTGTTTTGGAGCTGATTTAACTGTCTTGTTAGTTGGATCCTAGTGGAAATGTTTTTGCTCCATTCCAAGCTTTTTTTCGCCTATTATTATTATTATTATTATTATATTTCTGTTATTTGTTGCTTAGAGAGGGTTGAAATTGACGTGATTGCATGGTTTTTTCTCCAAATGGAGTTGCATCGAGTGCCTTAGGCTTTGTTTGTGATGGCTTTCCTATCGCTTCTTAAAGTAACTTTTTAGTACAAAAATTAAAAATTTTATACGAAAAAGCTGCTTTAAAAATCAATAAGAAAGCCGTCCCAAACGAAGCCTTAGTGTCACAGCTCTGTTAATTGAAAGAAGAAACATTTTCAGTACGTAGAAGAGGGAATTTCTTCTATCAGCCCAGAATTATTATAATGGGTAATTTACTTTGTCCAAGATAGCTTTTCTTTGGGACATAATTTTTTCAAAAATTCACATACCTCCAGTATGTGATCGCTTTACAAAATGCTACCAATTAGGAAAAAAATGGTGTACTTTTTGCATCAAGTTACCAAATTCTATCACTACATATTTCTGATTCTCTAGTGTAAGAATATAATTTACCTCTTGAGATTTTTTGTACTGATTTGGTTGAAAGAAGTCCATTATCAACGAGCAGAGACAATCTTTATTCCTTGAATGGTATTAAAATTCCATCTTTTCCCTGCTTATTGTCATGCAATTTCTTGTGATTTGGGTGATGTAAACTCCTCATAATCTCCTTTTTTTTCTCTGGAACATAGCAAATCTTGCCAGATCTTTCATTTCACATTTCAACTTGTCTTTAGACTTTGTTAACCCAAATCAACTCCTTAGCATCGTAAACATCTATAGTTATATACTTATATGTAAATTTTTAGAACTTACAATGTTGAGATACATTTCCTATATAAAGGTAATTGGCTTGTGATTTTGAGCTTTTTCAGGTTAGAACTTCTAAAATTTTACTTGCCAATGTCCTCTTGTTAAGTGAGCCGAGCCAGCTTGTGAGTTGGCTCGAGCTCGACTCGTTTTTGGGCTCGCGAGCCGAGCTTATCGAGCTCACGAGCTGAGCTCAAGCTCAAACTCAAGCTCGTTTAATAAACGAGCTCTAATTCAAGCTTGAGTTGGCTCGGCTCGTGAGCTTGCGAGTCAGCTCGTTAATTACTTATTAATTAAAATAATATATAATATTTAGGGTTTAGGGTAAATTTTAGCAGTTCTAACCTGAACTCTAAACTTGATTTCAATGGGACAAGCTCGATTCAAACTCGCCTTTCGAGATCGACTCGAGCTTGCTTTCCGGCTCGTTGCTAAAATTCGACTCGACTCGTTTGGCATTGGTTTTTGTGATGATTCTCATCCTTTTAACTGCAGATCGAGCAGAAGATGCCGCTGCAAATGAGCCCATTATTGCTTGATGTATAAGCTGGACAATTCGCTTTATGGAACGCGTAAGTTGGATTCGTAACTGTAATTGTTTGATCATAAGAATGAGCTCAACCTCATTTGTGGTTGAGTACTTTTGGACTGATTACCTTGAAGCTCAAAATTTGTTTGGTTTCATGCCCCTTTTCATTTAGTCATTTATATAATTTTTTTAATATAAGATCATTATGTTAATTATGATCTACAAGATATGAATTTAATTTTATTAAATTTTTTTGTGATGATTTAATTATGGGTTTAGTGATCAATGGATTAGATGAATTGTCATCCTAATAATCACTTAAATAAATAAATTTTTAATAAGGAGCAATAAGTTTATGCAAAAATCACCTCCAAAGCACCAAATTAAGCATTTTTATAAACCTCATCATCTCTTGTGAGTTTTCAACACATTGAATGTAAAAACAAGATTCTCCAATAATATAGATTTAAGTAATTAAATTAAAAATTTTAAGTTTGCAACACATGAAATAAGTTTTTATAAGTAAATTTTTAATTTTTTAATGATATAAAATATTTATTTGACTAATAATATTTAAAATTTTATTACTTTTTAAAGTTATAAATATTCTACCATTAGTAATATATAGATATAAATTTATAATCCAAATTTAGATTATTATCTTCGAGTCTATATATTAATAATAATTTATATTAAAATTTTAAGCTTATACAATAACCAACAACATCAAGCCTTTGTCCCATTATATGGGGTTAGCTACATGAAATTTTTTCACCATTGTGTTTGATTAAAAATCAATTTTTAATTTAAATATAATAAAGAAAGATCATTTCTAAGTCTACCTCTACTTTTCTTAACATAAGTCAAATCTAATACCTCAACTTTCCTAACTGGGTCATCAAAAGGCCTTCGTTTAATGTGACCAAACCATCTAAGGCGATTCTCTATAATCTTATCTTCCATTGGAGCTACTCCAACCTTTTCACATATATACTTATTTCGTATCCTATCTCTAAGGGTCAAGCTACTCATCTATACAACACTTAGTATTATGCTTCTCTTTTAATGGCCAACATTCAGCACTATAAAGCATTGCAAGTCTCACCACTATCTTATAGGATTTTCTCTTAAGTTTGAGGGGGACTTTTCTATCGCACAATAAACCCGATGCATTCCTCCACTTCAACCATCCAACTTGAATTATGCTGATAATATCCTCATCAATTTCACAATTACTCTGAACAATAGATCCAAGATATCTAAAACGTATACTAATCTTATATATTAACTGAAATTATATCAAATGTAAATTAAATTTAAAAAGATATAAAAATTTATAATTATTGGTTTAAGTAGTGCATGACTTAATTCCCTTTAAATAAAAAATTGTTATACATTCCACTAATTTATACATTTCCCTAATTTGCCGCATTATTTCTAGCAATTCTAACTTCATTCAATCAAACATCAAAACTCTCACAATAAATAGCCCCAATTTCAATATAATTATAATTTATAAAAATGTTTGTTACAGATGAAATGAAATTATATCCATAAATTACTTTGATTATATCTAAAACATCTCTGATGATTTTTATATGTAAAACAAAAATAAATCTAAACTTACCAACAACCAAAAGCCTAACTGTTAATCATCCCTATTTTTTCCTCCTTAAAAAATGATTATAAGACAATTATCAAGAAAATCAGACATAAACAATAGATATAAAATTTCTAATCTTAAAATAGATTTATCAATAAGCTATTTCGTTGGATTCATTATTGAAAAAGGTCCGCTTACTTCTAACAGTACCATAGTCAAAATCATCCATAAGAAGTTAAAACTACTATTGCTTACAGAAATCATAAAAAAACAGAAACTATAGAAACAGATCGTGAGGTTTTAGAATAGAATAAAAAGGAAAATCAATATGGATGGTATCGACGGCCTCTGCCAAAATCATTACCGTATTGATGATTGCCAAAATGCTTCCCATCTCGGCCAGCATTGTTATGGATTGCTGCTACAGGAACACCAGGTTGTTCCCTGCACATTCATGAAATTGTTGGGAAATCAAGATCAGGCCTTATTGTATAAATAGCTGCTTTAAGAAGCAGTAAAAAAGTCGTCCCAAACAAAGCCTAAAAAGTCGTCCCAAGCGAAGCTTTAGGCTTCGTTTAGGATGACTTTCTTTATGCTTCTTAAAGCAACTTTCTAGTATAAAACAATTAATTTTTGTACTAAAAAGCTACTTTAAGAAATAGTAAAAAAGCCGTCCCAATTGAAGCATAAAATTCAAATTAATTTGATTTTAATTCATACCTAGGAATTGAATGGAAGTTATTTAGGCAGCAACAACAACATCAAGCCTTTATCCCACTACGTGGGATCGGCTACAAGAATCCTTTTTCTCCATTGTGTTCTATTAAAAGTCAAATTCTCGTTTAAATCTAATAATGAAAGTTATTTAGGATTGTTATAAAATCACTAACCAGCCACTTCTCTCACTTCACATGCATGCTAACCTTGATAATCATTATAATCATCAGGAATACCATAATGTCATAAATCAACTTCAAGACATCGGTAGTCTCATGAAAAAAATAATGTCATTACAACATAGATCTTATGATGATTATGAATATGATTGCTCATTTCATTAAAATCTAAAACAATATTATCAAAAATAGATTCATTTTATAAACCAATCCTCAAATTTCAAAGTTGCAATCCCAAAAAATCTTGTAGTCATCAATTTTCAAACTTGATCTTTATGACGAGTTTGTTTGTGAAGATTATTTCTGTGATTATTGATATTATAATGATAAGCTTGAAGATGATTGATTGATCATAAATATCAAGCCCTCACTGAACTTAACTAAGAGGCTATGGTGAGACTAATTTCTAGCCTAAATTAGAACAAATATATTAATTAATAGATTATGATATTCTTACTAGATTCTTCATATAAGCATAAGTTGAATCACTTGTTGCAAAGTTATAGTCTTTATAGATGTATATTAGGTTCATGTTATGATTATAAATATAATCAGATAAACATTGGATATTCTATGTCACACCCTGATGATGAAACCAAAAACCTCTAAATTCTACTTTGTTTGGATGGCAACGCCCATGCTACAAGAGATGCTCATGAACTAGACCCATCACCTCAAGCATGTGAACTAAACTTCCAAACAAGATCAGATTATATCTTGAATATTCTATTTATTACATTATTTTAGGATTTAGTTTACATTTATTCTTTAATTATTAACATTAATTCTATTCTAAATTTACATGCAAAGATTTTTGTAGTTCTTTTATTTTTTTTTTATTTTTTTTTTCTATATATTTGAATTTAAATTAGTTTGATATTTTCTTAAAACCATATTTCTAAAAATAGAGGATGCATGAGTATTATTTGGGATTATTATAAAATGATTAAAGAAATTAGAACATTCTCCCCTAACTAGTATCCATACAATAGTTTCTTTCAAATAATATCCCATAAAATTCCCACTCCATTAATACCTCCCACCAGAAGATTTATTTGTAGCACCCCTAATAATAAGAAAACATAAAACAAGAAAGCCAGGCTTCCCAAGGATGTGCCTTTATTAATCACAATTCTCGACATTCCCTATCAATACAACAAGAACATCAAGCCTTAGTCCCACTACGTGGGATCAACTACATGAATCTTTTTTCTACATTTTATCCTATTAAAAGACATTCTCGTTTAAATCTAATAAAGAAAGATCTTTTCTATATTTTTTAACCAAGTCTTTTTAGGTCTACCTCTACCTTTCTTAATATAACTCAAATCTAATACCTCTACTATCATAACTGGGTCATCGGAAGGCCGTCGTTTTATGTGACCAAACCATCTAAGGCAACTCTCTCTAATATTATCTTCCATTGGAGCTATTCCAACATTTTCACATATATGCTCATTTCGTATCCTATCTCTAAGAGTAAACCCACTCATCCACCTGAGCATCCTCATCTATGCAACACTTAACTTAGTATTATGCTTCTCTTTTAATGGCCAGCATTCTGCACCATAAAGCATTGTAGGTCTCACCACCATCTTATAGAATTTTTCATTAAGTTTGAAGGAGACTTTTCTATCACACAACAAGCACAATGCATTCTTCCACTTCAACCATCAAACTTGAATTCTACTGATAATATCTCCATCTATTTCACCATCACTCTGAACAATAGATTCAAGATATCTAAAACGTGTACTCTTATTAATGACTTGATCGCCCAAAGTCACAATCCCTGGAGTAGGTCAATTCCTACTAAAATTACACTTCATATATTCAGTTTTAGATCTACTCAAGCGAAAACCTTTAGACTCTAAGGTTGACCTCCATAATTCAAGTTTACCTTCAACTCCCTCTCTAGTCTTATCAACAGGAAGAATATCATCAGCAAAAAAATACACTAAGATGCATCATGTTGCAAATGTCTAGTGAGAACATCCATAACTAAAGCAAAAAGATATGGGCTTAAGACTAATCCTTAATGTAATCCAACTGAAATAGGAAAATACTTGGTCAAACCACCTTGTGTTTGGACACATATAATAGCTCATGCATACATATCTTTAATGATTTGAATATAAGCAATATTAACTCCTTTCTTTTCAAGAACTCTCGATAGCACTTCTCTGGGAACTTTATCATATGTTTTCTCTAAATCAATAAATATCATATGTAGATCCTCCTTATTCTCTCTATATTTCTCCATCAAGCCTCTCAATAAATGTATGGCTTCCATAGTAGACCAACCCGACATGAATCAAAACTGATTTTGAGAAACACTAGTATCATGCCACAATCTACGCTCCATAACTTGCTCCCATAGTTTTAAAGTATGACACATCAACTTAATTCCTCTATAACTCGCACAATCTTGTGTATCACCTTTATTCTTAAAAATAGGAATCAACACACTCCTCCCCTCATCTGAGATCTTTTAATCTTCAAAATAGTATTAAAAAGTTTAAGGGAATGCCCTAGCATTAACACAATGTATTAAAGGATTCATATCATAATTATTCAACAAGTTTTACGCTGATTGTCGACTATCTAACGCAACCTTCCACTTTTCTCATTCAGGACTTGGACCTGACAACGACAGTGTTATCTCAACATTCCCTATCAATAAAAAAGCTAAATAAGGTGGAAAATATGCTTTGGATTTTAACATCACGATTTCATTACCAATTGAAATCAAAATTAATCTTCTTCTAAAACAATAAGATAATAAATCTATATTCAATTGGAATCGGATTTGTTTTTTTTTTTTGTTTTTTACATTTAATTTTGTTTAATCTAATTTGGTTCAACATATTTTATTGTATTATTAATAAATTACTGCTTCGAGTTGATTTGATTATTATGATTTCATATTAAATTTGTAAAACTTTTGTCCATAATATTTAAGAACTATGTTAAGCCACATTGTTCCATAATTCAATTTTTTTGCTATCAATTGTGTGAAATGTCAATTAGGTGAAACTTTTAAGAAAGATATCGCATAATAAATATTATGGCTTTTCAAAGGACAATAATACAAGTTGTGTGAAATTTATTTTTTGGGGCAAAATTAAAAAGGAAGAATTAATTGCCCTAAACAAAACTTGGATTGAGGTTATAAAAATGCTCAAATTTGTGGCAGTTTGCCTCATGTTTGAAAGAAAAAATTTGAGAGCATGAATAAGTAGTTGAAAGTAATTAAAAGCCACATGATGCTATGAATGAAGTAGATGATTTTAGGAGATATATGGAAAATTTAGCTTTAGGACCATCAAACAGTTACCATAAATCAAATTCAATGACCACTACTATGCTTTAAGAGCAACAAATTAATAGATACTGGATATATTTTTAGCTTTGAATCCCTTTCAAGTTGTGAAGTAAAATATAAAAAAATTGAATGCTCTGCCGAAGAGATGAAAAGAGTTGGTCAAGTAGTAAATGGTTGTATGATGCAGGCATCCCCTTCAACAAATTTAAGTATCACAGCTTTCAATGATAATGGAAGCATTTGGCAACTTAAAAAAGAAATAAAAATAAAACAAGATATCCTATTAAAATATGGAAAATTCATTAAAATGAAATTAAAGAAAATTTAGAAAAAAGGGCAAAAAATATAGTTCAAATAAAACAAAACATAGTTTATAAAAGATAAACAACCTCATTGCAGCTGTCTAGTTAGTCAAATGTCACTATGCAAGCTTGCAATGCTCAACTCCACCCGCACTCATGACGATTGATCTCTATCCTACTCGCAACACTCAATCTTCATCCGTTGGCTCCGCACACGCTCACTCATCTCCAATTTCATTGCTCTCTCTCTCTCTCTCTCTCTCTCTAATCAAACAAGTCTAAATCCTCTTGTATTATATTACTTAAAATAGCAAACAAAATAAGTATACATTAATTGAAGTGTTTACCTCATATGCCTCGAGGCATAAAACTTCGAGGCATATGCCTAAAATAAAAAAAAAAAAAATCATAAGCCTCTTTTAGAGCAAAAAATCTTGAACCTTCATCAAGGAATAGGCACCTTTTGGTAAAGGGTGCCCCGAATATCATTTTAAACCATGATTTGACGAATTTGCGCTGGGTCTTTATTCAAAATAAACAAAAGCTGCACAAACACAAAAAAGCACCTTGAAACAATTTTTTTAGTGTATTGTGGGGCTTGCACTCAAAGTAGATGGCTCTTTGTTGAGTCATTCGTTTGATAGATACAGATAAAAGGCCTATGATGGATTACATATAAAAGACAATGAATATGGCAAAAGAAATAATAGCTACATCTTTTACCAACAATAACCATTATAAACGAAGTTTTCAAATAATTGATTGAAAGTGGGAAGCGCAACTACATTGGAGAACGTGCAATGGCTCACTTCTTAAACCTTGAGGTTTTTTTTTTTAAAATAACCCCAACATTACAACAACAAGCCTTTATCCCACTATGTGGAATTAGATACATGAATCTTTTTTCACCATTGTGTCATG